ATTCTCACCCACCTCAGGAAAAAAGTCTTGCACTAATTTTTCTCATTTACTACACTGTAGAATTTCTTATATTGTTGTAGTGGTTTTATACAGCCACTGTAAAAAAATCGTAAATTATTGAAAATTCACCCCTTGGGTGCATAATGCTTTTCTTGACTTGATTTACTTGACTTCTACCTCTCCGGGGACGCAACTTTACCTATTACTCAGTCAAGAACTACTGGGCTGACCGATGGGTAGCCGAAAAGCAACCAAAACAGATGCACAACAGGACAAGTTTGTTGTTCGTGAAACCTGAAATTGAGTGTGTTGAGCCGTGAGTGTGGTTCGCACACGTTATGATGACTAAGGCGAGCATTTATGACTTCCTACTGCAGAATTGACTTGCCAGGAGAAAATCCGTTATATCTTTAGAAACCGTTGCTGATTGTTTGCAACCGCAAATAAAGGTTGTGGTATCAACTTCTTACTTAACCACTCAAATGGCCGCATTCGTATCTGCGAACTTATATAGGCCTACGGAATCCGCCGGCATTTCTTCATGCCTCGTCTCGACGTCATCTGTTGACCTCCACGTGATTTCCTCCAGCCCGGATTAGCTACAGGGAATAAAGCGCGGTTCGGCAGACGACAAAGAAGCCTACTAATCGCTGGCTGGGGCACGTATTGCGTATACCCGGATGTCATCTGCTCCATCGCGCTTTGTTCCCTGTAGCTAATCCGGGCTGGAGGGAACCACGTGGAGGTCAACAGATGACGTGGGGACGAGGCATGAAGAAATTTTTGATTGTTGTTAGGCCTATTTGTTTTATTCTACTTCGCGCACGAAAGTGCATGGTTAATGGTTGTTCGAACTGAAACTGATACTAACTTGCTTATTTGTTGTCATTCTTCCCGAAGGTGCGCGTATTATGATTTATCTGCGACACCCTGGAACCAGGTCTGTCTGAAATTCGAGACACTAAATCATTGTGGACATATAACGCAAACAGTTCCTATCGGCACAAAATATTCCATAAACAGTAACGAGAACGCAAACCCGAAGCGAAGCATTTGCAGTTTCAGAAAGACGATCTTTGACTGTCTCATTAGGTGCAAAAATAACCTACCTGATTTTTCACGCACACCGGACAGATCCAATTCGCTGGTGGAACTGTTGTTAACGGAGGATTAAGGCAACCCAGGTGAAAGACAGCAGTGCAGCCATCACAGCACAGAACCTCTCCGCTTCTGAAAAGAAAAACAAAATTCATATAAATTCTAAGACAATCCTATTTGGCATACCAATACTGCACATTAATAACGAAAACGGATGGTGAATACTGGAGGTGATTGCGACCAATACTGGATGAAACGAGTGAGCGATTGCACGCAACATGGTCAAGTCGAAGTTTGATGGGCTTCGTCAGACTCAAACTGAATGAATGGCACCAGATTATCGACCGGATGGCGTCAGCACTCTAC